CTGCAAAAAAAATTTTAAGCTGAAATCCGAAAGGGAGGCGGTTCCAAAGCACCTTCCTGGTCCCTCCGCAGCTTTTACTCCGCCGCGTGGAATTCCAGACGAACGCGTAGTGGCCCCCGTCGCTTCTGCATGATGTTTAGGGGTGGCTGGTTCAGGGCGTGCTGATTTTTTGGCAGAGATCACCCCCCCTCCCCCCCCCCTTTCTCCCTTCCCCTTCCTCTTTTCCCCCTCTTTACCCCCCCCCCCGAAATGCCGAGGGAAGTTCCCGGTGCGTGGATCGCGTTTTCAGCCGGCACGGACGGAGCCGTTTCGTCACCGGCTGCTCCCGCTTCCCTCTCAATAAACCGCTTCGAAAGGACCCGTTTGGGCTTTTCCCTCTTTGAAGAAGCGACGAAAAGAGGCGGAAAAAAAAACCCAAAAAAAAACCCAAACAAAAAAACCCCCCACAAAACCACACCCCTTTTTGGGGGAAGGGAGAACCAAAGAGACCTCTGGATTCTCCATGGGCACAGAGACATCCCCGTTTCGGGTTTAAAAAGCTCTGCTTCGGTGAAATTAAGGGTGACAAAAATGTCCTTTTCCCTCGTGGGACTTCAAAGGCACCGAGATCTCCTGGTTTTAATGGGGTAGGATCGACTTTACCACTGAGATCTCCTGGTTTTAATGGGGTAGGATCGACTTTGCCATTGAGATCTCCTGGGTTTAATGGGATGGGATCAACTTTGCCATCAAGATCTCTCGACCTTAATGGGGTGGGATCGACTCTGGCATCGAGATCTTCTGGTTTTAATGGGGTGGGATCGACTTTGCCATCAAGATCTCTCAGCCTTTATGGGGTAGGACCAACTCTGGCCTCGAGATCTCCTGGTTTTAACGGGGTGGGATCGACTTTGCCACTGAGATCTCCTGGTTTTAATGGGGTGGGATCGACTTAGGGCTGACAAAGTGTCATTTGCCCCATGGGACTTAAAAAGGAACTGAGATCTCTTGGCCCTAATAGGGTGGGACCAACTCTGGCACTGAGATCTCTCTGTTTTAATGGGGTGGGATCGACTCTGGCACCGAGATCTCCTGGTTTTAATGGGATGGGATCAACTTTGCCATCAAGATCTCTTGGCCTTTATGGGGTAGGACCAACTCTGGCCTCGAAATCTCCTGGTTTTAATGGGGTAGGATCGACTTTGGCACCAAAATCTCCCGGTTTTAATGGGGTGGGATCGACTTTGTCCCAGATCTTATGGGATCACATTGCTGGGGGTTTATTCCACGGGAAAAAAACCCCAACATTTCCACGGCCAAGCACAGGGGGGGGGCCCTAATTTAGGACGGGGCCCCTCAGGCTCTGCTGTGCCTGCACCACGGGGATCCCTCCCGGGACGACCCCAAACCCCGCATTCCCAGGGAGGAATCCTCCTTCCCTCTCACCTGCTGGATCCCCAGACAGTTCATTATCCCGGGAATTCTCCCCCTGTCTCCGGCGCAGGAGGAATTACAGGTCACACCACCCCACTTTTACCCACCCCCCCTCCGGCTCTCGGTAATTGCAGCCCGGAAAAAAAAACAACAACAAAAACAAAAAGAAAAGAAATGGGGACGATTAAAGGACGATTAAAGGGGCGGGGAGGGGGGATCGGCACCTTCGGGGCAAGGCGGGGTCATTTCCACGCTGAGAGTGGAAAATGTCCCCTCCGAATGTCCCACCCGGCCCGTGTCACGCCCTGGCCTCGTCCCGTGGGCTTCGGTTCCTCGGGCCGAAGTGGGTGGAGAAACAAAACAAAACAAAAAAAAAAAAAGGGGGTTCGTCCCCAAGAAGTTTCCAAAACCGCCTCTTAAAGCCTGTAAAACAAGCACCAAAAAAAACAAAACCAACAACCTCGCTGCTTTTATTCCCCCTTATTCATTCTGTGTTTGAATCTTGAGGATTGTTTTGACATTATTATTATTATTATTATTATTATTATTATTATTATTATTATTATTATTATTATTATTATTGTTATTTCTTAATGTTAAGGAATGTTTTGACTATTTTTCCCCCCCTCCCCTTCTCTTCTTTCTAAGAGCAACGAGCTCCAGCAGACGTTTGAAAGTTGGGGAACTGGTTTTTCTGCCGGTCCAAAATAACCGGAAGAAATATTTGGGTGTTTGGAGGGATGACTGCACGCGGTTCTTTCAGTAAAAAAAAAAAAAAAATATATAAATAAAAAAATTAATAATTAAAAAATACCATTCCAGCGTTTTCATTCTATGAAACGCTTTGGTCTGGGTTGA